GCCGAGATAATATTTAATGTATCTGAGCTACATATTAATGTATCCAAGCTTCAATTATTGTATCCGTTTTTTTTTTAAGTGATTAATGTAATTAGAAACTTATTAGGGATAGATTGTAATTTCATATTAAAACTATGAGATTTATGTAATTTACCAAAAAAAAAAAAACCATTAATTTTGTTTCTTCTAGAGATAAACAATGACTATGAAAACATTTGATAATTTGCTACAATTAGTATCCTTCCTAACAAGCCTGTGTTAAAGGCTTAAAAGTCAGAGTCAAACTTCAAAATATACAAATCAAACTTATTTGAATTTTAATTTCTTCAATTCGAAAATTGAAAATTCACTTGGATTTTTATATTTAATTTAATTGACCGCATCGGTGTATCACTTGTATGCTTATATATAGTATATTAAAATTTAACGCTTTGGAAATATATTAGATACTATTGAATAATATTTAATAACAGGATAAATAAGATACAAAATGGTAAATTATCTATTAATTTTCTAAATTAGACAAATATTATTGGACATCTATTTTTAGTATAGTAAACAAGTAAAAATAGACGGAAGGAGTATGATTATATTCTATTTTTATTCCCTTTTTTTTCCTCATGAATTCTCTTTACATAATCTATGTATCGAAGTTATTATAAATATTTTTTATGATGAAAAGATGAAAATGAAAATTTAAAAATAAAGAACATCAAGTTTATAGTGAAAAAAATCCTTCAAACCAAAGGTAACACCCACGAAATCAACGAAATCCGAATTGCTTGAATTGGATATCAGATTTGGTACTTAAGCTTTTCAAATATTAGAAAATTTGAATTCTTATACCTTATATTAACCCTTACTCGTATATATGCTTAATAATACTAATAAGTCTAAAGGTCTAACAGTACCCTAATTGTTATACATCAACTCCATTAATTTTTGTTTCTCCTAGATAGGCAATGATGTCCGCGTAAGCACGGGTCCAATAAGGATTTTTGCGACCCTTGAATTAAGTAGGGTCGGGCCTAATTTTTTGGTCCATTTAGAAATTAGACTTTTTGGCTCAATCTCATTTGGCCCGCTAGCCTTGTAGGCCCAACCCGCGAGGCTTAGAGGTCAATCCATGGGGTATGAATATTAAAAGTATTTATTATAAATATTTTAGTAGTGTTTTATTTGTAAAGATTTTATCTATAAATATTTTTAAAAATATAAAATCAAGTCTAACTCCTTTGTAGATCTTTTACATTTTATGGTCATTAGCCCACTAAAATCAAGTCTACTTTTGTTTTTATACCTAATTTTCCATTTCCCCTTTGTTGTCCTGTTTATGAAAAAATTGATCATGTAATATTTTTATCTTGGATGAATCTTACGATATTGTACCTTGGCTATTATGTATTTTTATAAGTATTCATTAAAGTATGTAATTCATACATGAATTTTTGTATGTATTGATGTCGTGTTCATGAGACATCAACATTCGATACTCTTTCAAAAAATTAATGTTGTACATTTTTTGGGTGAAGAGCCGACCCGTCCCAACTCATGGCCCGCTTAAGGCTGGATTAGGCTGCTATTTTATAGGCCCTTTAATTAAAAGGGTCAATCCGTCTTAATCCATTTAACTCTCTAGTCTGTTAGAATTGGGTTGTGTTAGGCCAGCCCATTTTGACAGCTCCAACTGCAAGCCTCTGAGCTTTTTGAAGCTCCTTCAATACAGCTTGAAAATCTTTAGCAAATTTAGCATCTGTAATTTTGTTGCTAGCCTGAGAGCAAAAAATGAATCTACAATTATAAGCAAAAGAGACAAGTGTGAAAGAAGAACATCAAGAAATAGATATAAGGCTAACAAATGTTTAAAATATAAAAAAATTGTGATGAGAGAAGATTAATAAATGTTTTGCACACATATTTAGAATTACGTAAATTTCGAGTATAATCAAGACCAATGATTATCATATGGTGAACTTCACACATTAAATCATCGTATTTTCGTTGATGAGATTATGCCAAATTTATACCAAAAGTAATTCACGAGATTATGCACTTCTCTTTCCTACTTATAATCAAAGGAAACAAGTCAATCAAAAAATTTCCTTTATGATCGGTGAAAATCACATGTTATACTATATTTCAATAAATAGATATCCGTGTTATGATACAAGACATGGATACATTATTTTGTAGGGGTCAAATTTCAATCACTTTCTATTGTATTTATTTTAAAGTGTAAAAGAGCGTTTTTTTTTGTATAATAATACATGAATTAGAGGCGGGTATTTGGGTCATCCGATTGAGTGTGAAAATTTTAGTTTGAACTTTTCGGATTAAAGAAATTACAATTTAAATTCAGATTGAATTAATATTTTTAGGTTCAACATGATTAATCAATTTGGATATTTTAAATTTTTGATTTTGACTTTTGAGTTTTAAGGCAGATCAAAATAAATAATAATCTCAATTTACTTAATAGTTTGCTCCTTAGAAATTAAAATGTATAACTTTCTATGATTAACAAGGATAGAGATCGTCATGTTGCTGGCCATGTCGTGTATTGAACTTAATACTACAATAGTAGCGATGTAGGGTACTGATTTATTGAACCTTTGCAATTAGACTTATTAGTATTGTCCATATATAATATAGATATGGCTACAAGGTATAAATTACTTCCTTTTACAACATAGGAGAAGGGACCTCGTTCCTAAAATGCCTTTTCGATTTTGAACTTTCGAATATCCTAAGATCAATAATACTAAACCCAATATCCAATTCGAAATCAATAGTACTACATTTGACATCCAATTCAAAATCAATAGTACTAAAGTAGTTATTTAATCCTAAATCTATACATTTCAACAACATATATAATAATAAATTTGAGATACAATTTTAACATCAATTGCTATTTTTTAATAATTTTATTCTTTTTACAAATAATTTTATTGATAGACGTGAAACACACATGCAAAATACATACACTAAATTAATTATTTACAAATATATACGCAATTACATGTTTGGGACCATACTTATCGCTAGCGCAATTAAATTTTACGTGCAAAACACATGCACTAAATTAATTATTGACAAATATGTATGCAATTCTACTGCGGGACCATACTTTTCGTTAGCTCATTCAATACGTTTAGACTTGTTGTAGATTGTGATGGATATTATCATAAACTAATTCACAATCAATTTTTTAAGCTAGCAACATTAATAACATAAATTGAACAAAATAAATACAATAAACTAACATAGTAACAAAAAATTACTCAAATTGAGAAGAACAAAAAATCATAAAATTCAAAATCTTAATCTTAATAAATAGTTGAGATGGATTTGGAAATGGACGGACAACATCGGTTTAAATATTTAACCATGATTTTGACCAAAAATGGCAGACAAAAAAGACACTATTGTCGCTTCTTTTAAAAAATATATAAAATTTTAATTATAAACAACGAACATAGTCGTTACAATATAATTGATTTTTATTTTATTTCAATCAAAGGCGACAGATGCCGTTGTAATTGATAAAAATTTATATATATATATTTGATGCAAAATTCTGCCAAAAAAAAAACGACAGACAAAGAGTCTGTCGTTTTTAGCTATAAAAAATTAAAAGAGTAATCAAAACGATGGGCAGTGTTTCAAATTGCATCACTTTTTTGAAGCCACGTTGTTCGTTGTTTTTCATTTAGTTATTTTTTAAACTTTTTTTTTAGTAGAAAGAGAGATTTTCTCTTATTTTTCGAATATGAATTTTTTAATCTTCTACTCTTCTTCTCCTTATACTTTAAAATAACTTGGGTAATTATATTTAGTGTTGTCGAGTGAGTCCGCTACCAAAGTTTGTGGTGTGAAAATTATTTTATACTGCGAGGATATATTTTATTACCTCGGATATATTAAAGGAAATAATTTCCTTAAGGACACACTATGAATTCAGTAGGCTCGATTTTTATTTTTTATTTTCTATTTCTTTTGTCTATTTTGTTGCTCTTTTGAGTACAGATTGACTTACAATCTTAATGAAATTATATAGTGTATTTTTTTTAATCCGTATTTTGTTTCTACAGATTTCCTATTTCTGTTTGAATTTTTATTCCGACTTAAAGAATATAAAACCTTGTCAGAAATATTAAAATTCATTTTATTACCGATTTGAAGAATATATGCACCATTTGTTAAACGGTAAAAATATATATACATCGCTTTTTTAACAAGAGATGTATCCTCGCTAAATCGCAAAATTAAAAAATATATTTATGTTTTTCCTCAAATTAATACTACTACTTAGCAAAGAAAATGTTTTTAGGGAAGCTAATGAAAATTAAGAAAATTATTCAACGGTAGTGTAATACTCCAATAAAGTACATTATATTAACGATCATAATTTTTACAAGCCAAAAGGGAAGAGCTTTTACATAAAACGATACGGGGCGGAACGGGTTGAAATCTTTTTGCGAATTTAAATAAGAATCTGCATAACTTGATTGGCAGTACCCGATGGGAATAAT